TTCAAAAACTAGCATGATTTTGAAAGTAGCATTCCCTCAGTGCTCCATCTGCACCCCCCTCCCCTCTGTGCTCCCTCTAAAGCCACGCCCCCTCACTTACATGCACGAGCGCCGTCGCTCCAGAAGTGGACCTCAGCTCATCTCATTGTGTAGAAACTACGTCGTCTCATGTCTCATTCAGCGGTCAGTAAACTCACAGTATAAACTCCTAAAGTCATCGGTGACGAGCTTTGAGTGTGAGCTAGAGCACGCAAGAGAGCGAGCAGGGAGACAGGGAGGCGTCTGATTGGTTCATCAGATCGGTACCTCGTGGCAGACATTGGTTGAAGTTTTTACAGACTTACAAACTGATACAGATGATGGATTCTCTTTGTTCCTTTTTCAGAGAACATGAGTTATTCATTTCTGTCAGGACCTAAAGACAATTTACACGAGAATCTTAAAAAGTGAATCTGGAGGAAATTACCAACCCTGACTTTAAGTCATGGTTGCACCCTCCTCATTTCACTGTGTTTAAATTGACTCTGTGTTGTTGTAAACTTAGCGGCGTTGAAATGTAGGAGAAGGCCCCAATCTTTCTCCATGGGGGGGGGGGGGGCATGTCCCTGGACCCCTCTCGCTGGCTACTTTTTCCTACTCCAGGTGTCGGTGGAAAGCCCCGGACATCGTTGCCACAAAAAGAAAGAGCGGAGCTCTCCAGCACGACGCGGTGGTGTCACATTGGGATATAAATCATCTCAACAGCCACATCAAAATAACGTGGAGAATCTCAATGGGGGATTCATCACGAGGGGCTTTAAGAATTACAAGACTGGTTATCTGCAACATGAGATGTAACAGACGTCACACACACGCTGGGCTGGATTCTCTGTGAGGAACGACCGGAGGGAATGAAGGCCCTAACGCGACGACACAATTGAAGACAAGTGTTTTATAATGACTTTAATCGCCATCTTCTGTCCTGACCTTTTCCCTCCCGAGGTCTGATATTGTGTTTACGCTCAGACTGCAAATCAATGAATCATTTACAAGTAGGGACACTTTCCAATTCTCCCACTCGCCCTCCCTCTTTCTCCCCCATGGCCGTCTCTGTTCCCTCCATTAATCCATCCATTTCTCTCCTTCCTGCTTTGCTCCTCCTCACCGGGGCCAGGAGTGCATCCCAGGAGCCCTCGTCCTCAGCCTGCCAGAACATTTCAGAGGCCTCATGAAAAAAATACTTTCCACAGATACAGAGAGGGAGAGAGAGAGGAGAGAGAGAGAGAGAGAGAGAGAGAGAGAGAGAGAGAAAGAGAGAGAGAAAGAAAGAGAGATAGAGAGAGAGAGAAAGACAGAGAGAGAGAGAGAAAGAAAGACAGAGAGAGAGAAGACAGAGAGAGAGAGAGAGAGAGAGAGAGAGAAGAGAGAAAGACAGAGAGAGAGAGAGAAAGACAGAGAGAGAAAGAAAGAGAGAGAGAGAGAGAGAGAGATAGAGAGAAAGACAGAGAGAGAGAGAGAGAAAAGAGAAAAAAAAGAGAGAGAGAGAGAGAGAGAGAGAGAGAGAGAAAGACAGAGAGAAAGAAAGACAGAGAGAGAGAGAAAGAAAGACAGAGAGAGAGAGAAAGAAAGACAGAGAGAGAGAGAGAGAGAAAGACAGAGAGAGAGAGAAAGACAGAGAGAGAGAGAAAGAAAGACAGAGAGAGAGAGAAAGAAAGACAGAGAGAGAGAGAAAGAAGACAGAGAGAGAGAGAAAGAAAGACAGAGAGAGAGAGAGAGAAAGACGAGAGGAGAGAAGACAGAGAGAGGAGAGAAGAAAGACAGAGAGAGAAAGAAAGACAGAGAGAGAGAGAGAGAGAAAGAAAGACAGAGAGAGAGAGAGAAAGAAAGACAGAGAGAGAGAGAGAAAGAAAGACAGAGAGAGAGAGAGAAAGAAAGACAGAGAGAGAGAAAGAAAGACAGAGAGAGAGAGAGAAAGAGAGAGAGGACAGACGGGAAGCAGTGACGGGGGAGGAAGGGAGATCAGAAGAGAAATACCAGGGATTATATATAGATTTGAAATGAGCGGAGGCTGTCAGCGTGTAAGGTGTGTGTGTGTGTGTGTGTGTGTGTGTTGGCTGTCAGAGTCTATTAAGGGCTGACTGTAACAGCAACAGAGGGCAGACTTCCCTGCCTGTCAAGAGCTAGACAAACAAGTCCGGCACAGCTAATGTTGAGTCACAGGACGGGGGAACTTTTCTATCTCTCGGAGCCGTCACAAACTGTTATGTGAGGAAGAATGAGTGATGAACACAGCAATAGAGAGAAGTGCTCAAGTCAGTATCAGTTAAAAATGGATATGCACAATGACTCATCAACTTTCTAATGAGTAAACTGTGAAGGAAGAGAGGGATGCAGATGAGAAAATACTGAAAACCAACACACTGAATCGAGCATTCTTTGAATACTTCAAGATGTTTCATAAACTGAACTGACACAACATTTCAAGTCAAAGAAAATTCACTAAAGTACAACACAAGCATGAATGCAGAGAGGAGGAAACAACGTCAGTAAGTGCAAACAAACATCGAACACACAGGTGAACCATGACTCAACCTAGCCCTGCTCAGGAAACACAGGGACGGACACAATCCAGAAAGCAGTGCGCCATCAGCTATGAATACGTTGATTATTTCTTGTCCAACATTACTGCAAACTTTCAGATGCTTCAATCTCCATGCCCGTATCAGGCAGTTCTCCTGTAAGGTCAAACTGACCGTCGTGGCATGTCGTTCATGTCCAAGGTTTTCCACTCCTTCCAGGTCTTTATTTGTCAGAAAACAACTTTAACAGGCGAGCACTATTCATCCAATCAGTGTATGATTTCATGATTCTGATCGGTCTGTGTGTGATGGTGAGGGATGCCTCTGTCGCTCTTTCACTGGGATCAGTGTGGACTCAAGTTTTCAGTTTTAGTCTTGCTAGCTTGTCAGCCCTTTGGTGACGATGTTACCACAGCGAGGTGAAGCAAAATAGATCGATGTGACTTGCATGTATGAATTCTGCTGACAATGTTTCCCTTATTTAAAAAAGTGTTTCCTTTTAAGTAGGACATAAAAGAGCTGCATGCAGCTCAGGTCGAGTATCACTGTTTCAAGGGAACCCTGACAAAGAAAGCAAACATATTCTTTTGTCACTGGAGCGATAAGACTAAAGGTTTGTCGGCTCCAAATCAAACCAGAGGGCTCGATATACATGAGGCAGCCATGGAGCAATCTGAATAATTTACAGCATGTCACCCCCCTACACACACACACACACACACACACACACACACACACACACACACACACACACACACACACACACACACACACACACACACACACACACACACACACACACACACACACACACACACACACACACACACACACACACACACACACACACACACACACACACACACACACACACACACACACACACACACACACACACACAGTAAAGCCTTCCTCCTTAAAACACAAACACACACACAGAATCCTTCTGTGTTGCTCCACAGACGGAGTATCAACAACTAAACCACTTATCTCACCCTCCAAGACAGGACACATACCACACAGCACACACATGGACTCCGCTGTTATCTGTCATTACACGGTGTGTTGACCTCGGGGACAGCAGGGGTTAAAAAAGGGCGACAGCACCTGGCAGCAAAGTTTTTAAATGTTTGAATGAAGTGAAGTGTGACACTGTGACTGACACAGAAACATGCTGAATGCGCTGGTCGTTCTGAGTCGTTGGTCCAGCTTCAGGACCCACCGCTAACTCCTTCGAGAAAAATCACGACCCACTTAAGGGTCCCGACCCACCAGTTGAGAACCACTGGTTTAAATCATGTGAGCATGAGACTGTGTGTGTATACTGTTAGAGACTGAGAGTGTTTGAGTGGATTATGGATTACTGTCTATAATCATCTTAAAGGCCAGTAGGACACGGCTAGCAGCATGATGCTGACCATGACACACACACACGCACGCACGCACGCACGCACGCACACTCTGTGCAAGAGTAGTGAGCCGGATTTGCTCTTTTCAAGACTTTAGTTTGGCGTCATATGCACCCACTTCATGACATAGTTTGATGTCCGAACGCCGCCTTTTTGGGCAAATTTTGCATTTATCAGATCGGTCAGCTGAAGAGACAAAGGAAACATTGAGAGGGGGGGTATGCAGCAAAGGGCAGAGGTCGGACTTAAACCCACACCCGCTGAAATGAGGACTTCAGCCTCTGTACATGGTGCACACTCCATAACCACTATGCTATCCGGCACCCCATCAAACACCGCCTCTAAAAAAGATTTCTGGTCTAGACGTCTGCAGAAATCAAATGTGTGCATGATGAGAAAAGTTTAACTGTCCATGATTGAACCAATGCAGCCAAGCTCAGTGACAAAGGAGGCAGTGTGGTGAAGTGAAGACACAATAAGTCAAACAGGACTTAGTGGAGAGGACTTAAGTCGTGCAAAGGTTTTTAAGTTGTATTCATATTTGCTCTTTAAACGATCTACTCTCATTAAGCGCCATCATCACACCTGTGCACAACCTTGAAGCCTTTTCACTTATGTACATATCTTCATGTTCCTGCAGGGGAGGTTGAACTACGGTCCTTCGGTCTGAGGGGAGGGAGGAGGGGCATTATGTCCTGTGTCTGTGAGCATCTGCATGTTTGGTAATCAGCTACATAACATCAACAGGCCAGAATGCAAAAGTGGATTAAGACCTGTGAGGAGATTTTAAAAATGTTTGGATGTTAATTAAAGCTTTTTCAACATAATATTTGTAACATATCGGTCTTTCATATTTGCCCGAAAAATTCCTGACATTTGCAAGAGGTGCTGCATGTGTGAACGAAAACAGCCGAATCACTCTGACTTCAGGCTTCGTGTTGTCTCAAGTCGTTACCTCTCTAAATGTTTCCCCATCATCTTGGGATGACCCCGGATGAAGCATTTCATTAACGGTCTTGTGGTCATGTCTCACCTGACTGCGGGGCCGTCGTCAGTGTGTGTGTGTTGTGGTGAGTCAGAGGAGGATGGACCCTCGTCTCCGTCCTGAGGCAGCTCTTCACATTCGGCCTCACACCTCTCGTCATCCAGCAGCTCAGTGATCTAAAAGACGGGAACATGACAGGACACCAAAAGGTTACTTTTGATAAATTACTAATTTAATGTGAGGAGGGTTGAATGTGGAGACGCTGAACTCAAAACATTAAGTTACGGACAAATTCATTCTAAAAGTGGTGTTTTCATGGTTGACAGGAAAGGCCGTTTTCCCCGGCATTCAAACCAGAAACAATATGGCGGCTTCTGCGTAATATAAAATATACCTTTTTATACTCAACTCAACTTTATTTATATAGCACTTTAAACACAACATTGCAGAAAACAAAACACTAGAAAGTAAAAGACAAGAACAACAACAATAAAAAAAATGACAGTTAAGTCCAGTGTAACACAAGACTAACAGAGATATGGGTTTGGTGCTTGACGGGTTACTGAAAATTAAAGGCAATTGAGTTTAAATATGTCTTAAGGCAAGTTTTAAAAACACCAGTAGTGGGATGTCTGGGGGCAAAGAGTTCCACAGTTTTGGTCCTGCAATAGAAAAAGCAGGAAATCTCATTCTGAAAGCTTTTGGTGCGAGATATCTGTGATGCAGTTTCTGAATCATGACCAACTTGGCCTAAATAAAAAGTGTGTTTGACCTTCTGACCTAGTGCACGCTCTGCTGTGATTGACAGCTGCTTGTTCGCGCAGCTTGTTTGTCTGAACATCACTTTGACTTTCTGAATGTGTACAGATTAGATGTAACTCAGGACGGGACATTAATAACTCCACATCGTAATGCCAAAGATCATATAATATAAAAATTCCTCCTGGACACGAAGAAGCAGGAAAGATATCCTGTGAGAGAAATTCAAAGAAAGGTGTCGATATGTTTGTATATGCAGAATGTGTGTACATGTCAGGAACAAGATATGGCTGTTTGTTTCATAACACGTCTTAATATAGACGGGGCTAACGTGTTACGCGTTGACACTGCAGATACCGTGAAATGGTAACCAGATAGAAAAATCTGCCCTTTAAAAAAAAAAATGAAGGTGGGGGGAGGGGGAGGAAAGCAAGAAGGTTTTGCACATAGTTAGGAGGAAGAGACGTGGTGTTAGGTGATCGTTTTTATGTTGACTCCACAAAGAACCCATGAGTGATGGTTATGATGCAAAGAAGGCCAAACGAGGGGGGGGAGGGGATTTCAGAGGTCTGAATCGATCGATCAATTGTCAGATAAAATCTGTAATCTGTCCTGCAGCACAGCGGCTCCGTTTACAACAAGGAAGTTAAACACAAGGTGGGGCGCGTGTGGCCGAGCTGTTAGGTGGGCCCCCTTTTACGGAGCCTTTAGTCCTCCAAGTGGGCGACCCGGGTTTGAGTCTGACCTGTGTTGGCTCCTTTCTTACATAACATTCCTCTCTCTCTCTATCAGAATAAATGTGAAAAAGCAAAATAAATAAATTAAACTGTCTGCATGAGAACTTCAAATCATTTCATTGAATTTATCGAATCAGGACGTTGTCACCATGTCAGCGCTGAGCGTCAGAGTGAGTCTGCCGGAATTAGCACAACAGCTACATTTCATCTGTAGTCCGAAAGCTTACAATTACAGGTGACCTCTAAAAGACGGCACAAGGAGCAGCTCACAAACATTAAATTAACTAAATGGACACATATTTACAGACTGCTCCTGCCCTAGGGGAAACTGAGAGGGCAAAGTCATAAATAGAGGCAGTGAAAAAACCTAGAGAGAGCCAGGAGGAAGAGGGGGAGGGGGAGGGGGAGGACGAGGAGGAAGAGGAAGAGGGGGAGGGGGAGGGGGAGGAAGAGGGGGAGGAGAAGGAGAAGGAGAAGGAGAAGGAGAAGGAGAAGGAGGAGGAAGAGGACGAGGAGGAAGAGGGAGAGGAGGAGGGGGAGGAGGGAGAGGAGGACGCGGAGGAGGAAGAGGAGGAGGAAGAGGAAGAGGAGGAGGGGAGGGAGGGATAGAGGGCAGAGTGTAATGAATCTGACTGTAAAGCAGAGATGGATGACAGGAAAAAAATAAATGAGAGGGGTGGTGGATGCTGGAGAGAGAGGAGGGAGGGGTAATAAACATGAAGACAGAAGTAAGTCATTATGATGCAGGGAGCTGACAGCATGTGAAACAAGCCTCTAACGTGGATCCTCGGGGGGGGGGGGGGGTGTTCTGCAAAAGTGTAGAAACTGTTTGAGCACAGAGGGAATCAAATCGAGGTGTTCCTCACACACTTTTCTGTGAAAACCTTTTTCGAAATACTCCGGACGTTATCAGGGTCAAAAGGTCATGAAACAGAGCTGTCACCATGACACTGTCTTTTCTCTCTCTCTCGTTTGTTTGTCCTCGTTTCTACACTGCTTCCTCCTTCTCTTCTCAGCAGCCGCCCCATCTGCTTCTGTCACTGCGTCGTTGCTACGGTAACACCTCTGTTCCCCCCCAGCTCCGATTGGCTGTCGGGGAAATTCTTGCACCGTCACATGTGCAGACTGTGGAGGATGACTCATACTACGCTCCTCTGTGTGTGTGTGTGTGTGTGTGTGTGTGTGTGTGTGTGTGTGTGTGTGTGTGTGTGTGTGTGTGTGTGTGTGTGTGTGTGTGTGTGTGTGTGTGTGTGTGTGTGTGTGTGTGCGAGTGTGTGTGTGTGTGTGTGTGTGTGGATTAGGTAAAGAAGCCTCCTTTCAGAAAGCCTTAGTCCTTTGTTTTATCTGTTTTTCCTCATGACCTGAGCTTCTCAAATTGAATATTCCAGTAATGAATAAAGATCCCCGGTGGTGCACAGCCGAGCAGAGCTGCACGGTCATTTGCATTTTGACGTGTAGGTGTCTGTAAAATGTTAACTTAATGACTAAATGGTGAGAAAAAGCTGGGAAAGAACGATTTAACACCACACCCTCACACGCCCCCTCGCAGAGCCCTTTCACACCTCCTCTAGTGAGAGTGTTAAAAAACAAAAAAACAAACAAGTGGACTCTTGTGCTGCGTTATCAAGCTTATAGAAGCCTCTTGTTTTTACTCTCAGGGAGGCTACATGTGTGAAGGGGGAATTCATTTCCACAAAATAAGTTCTGCACGTGATGTAGAGAAATTCACTGTGCACATGGAAGATGTTTTTTTTTTTGAATCACCCTATTTCAAAGGCTCGACACATGGGCGGTGGAGTGGGCGGGGCAGACAGACCGCGGACTTATTGATGATGACACATCTCCCAACGATCACCTCAGCTGCAGAAATATATGGAAACAACGACATGAGAAGCTTCTGTTCTAAAATGAGACACATGCAACACAATCGTTGCATTTACAGGAGGAACATGCATACAGTTGGTGGATTTCTCTCTCTCTCTCTCTCTCGCTCTAATGTGCATCTCCCCCTCTCTATTTCTCTCTTGCAGCCATAAATAAAACTGTGCAGCCTGCCGACAAATGGACGACAACAAAGTCCAGGTGTTAAGGAATGTTTATGCGAGGGAGAAAATACAACGCTTGCTTCTCTTGAAGGTGGATTTTGGCCATCACCAAGGCGGTGCAAATGCAGACAGAAAAAAGTCCCCCCCCCCACACATCTTTGTGTATCAGAGCGGGTGAGAAGACAGGCCAGAGAGAAGCCCTGGAACAAAAGGTCTTGGCCTTGGCTCTGGTTTTAGCGGTCTGATCCGGAGTTTCGGACAGGAAAACAGAGAAAACAACAAGCCCTGCTGACATCATCAGTTGGACCGATGGCCGGGCCAAGAACACAGAACAATGACAGCCGACTGAGGCTGACATTACGAGTCTCAAACTGTGGCCTCCATCCGTGTTTTCCAAGGCTCCTTTGTACGTCTCCTTCCTTCTGATGTGAGATTCTTAAACCTCGGGACACACTCAAGAGATCGTCACCCCATACAGAAGAAGCAGATTGCAAAGGTCTGAGTGCTGCTGTGCTGTTAAGACACTTTGATGTAAAGCTGGAGGCTTTCACTGTTTACACAGATTCTGTGCACAAGGGGGAAAATACAGAACAAGCCATGTATTCACAGCCAGTTTAACAACCGTTAAGTTAAGTTAGTTTTTTCACTGATAGACTGTCAGATGCAGAAAACTGACCTAAGCTCCTCAAAAAAATTTAGATTATTTGACTGCTCCGAATAGGGGAAGCAGCGGACGAAGCAACAGAGTCTGCCTATGATGCTTTGATGAGGATAACCCCGCCCCCAAGCCCCTGATGTAACCGCTTCTTTCTTGTAGTCCAGCAAGGAGTTTGAGCTACTCTGGAACGGGGTTTTTCTGGCCCAGAAGTCAGTTCTAGCTGTCAAAACACAAAGAACTGGTGATACTTTGGCTCTAAACCAACCCTCTGGACTGGCTTGGTGGAAAAGGGGGTATATGTTTGACTCATAACAAAAAATAGATGAGAGCTATCAAACTCAAATGAACACCTGTTTCCATTTTAACAGAGGCTACTGGGAGACAGTGAGGCTGCAAAAACAAAAAGAAAAAAAAGTGTTTTAAAATAAACACTAAAAGAGGCCAAACATAAGCTCCAAAAAAAGGTCAAAACATTTGGAGATGTTGTCCTCTCTCTGTGTTCTTGCTCATTCTGCCTGGAACTGCTTCCTTCCTGCAGAACCTTTATGAAGAAAAGCCCTGTGGCCTAATGTTCCTGCAGCGAGTGGGTGGGCTGTGTGATCCGGCTCTCATCCTCTCACCTTCAAAATGTGTGAAAACCAGATTCTTCTGACATCCATACTCCCTTCAAATCACTCACAAGATGCAAAGAAAAAAACATCAACAGAGCTTCAGAGCTGTATATGAAAAAGGTGTGAAGTGTGGGTTTATGTGTTCATGCTACATCTCTCCTCCTACAGAGAAATCTTTTCCTCTCATGGACTGTCCAACTAGACCATCACCTCCTGCTTAAATAGCACTCAGAGGTTAGTGTATATGTTCTCACATTTAGCTGCTGCTGAACATGATGACATCGTCTGGTACGTGTAACATTACTCCTCATCTTAATTAATGTCCAGAGTCCGGCTTCTGTACGCTGTGGTATCAGAGACATGGCTCGGCTCCAGAAACACTTAAATAAGTAACAGGACACATTCTGGTTTACGGATCTGCTGAGGGGACGTTAACATAACAGACGTGGACAAATAAGGCGGCCATTAAGAGACTTTAAGTAGATTAAGTAGACAGACACCAACACAAAATTATGTTAGAAACACGCTGCGACTGTCACACACACACACACACACACACACACACACACTCACAACGCCAAACTATGACCACAGTGTCTCCAGAAAACAGGCTTGCGCTCACACTGACGGTGAGTTAAGTTTGGGGTTTTCTACAGTAGTTCATTTTGCAGGGAGAGATATTCAGAGTGTAATAAATGAAAACTAAAAATGTGGGGCGCCCGGTGGACGAGTGGTTTGGGCGCCATGTGCAGAGGCTGAAGTCCTCCCTGGGTTCAAACCCAACTAGAGATGCACAAATCCACTTTCCACATATAGAAGGAGCTGTTCCATCTCGTCTGAACGTCGTCATGGAGACGATTTGTGGGCACCTCTTCCAGTTCAGTCTGAAAATCTTTAAAGTGAGACAGTGCGAGCTGAGAATGTTTAAAGTGACCAACCATCTTTCTTGATCTGTGATGTTGATTGGCACGTCAGTCCGATATCCAATATGTAAATATCGGACCTGATACCGATATAAGGTCGGATCGGTCCCATCTCTAAATCCAGCCTATAGCTGCTTCCCCACACGTCATTCCCCCACTCTCTCTCTTTGTCCCTGATGTCCGACTCCATCCCAAAAATAAATCTTAAATAAATAAATGAAGGATGTGCTGCTTGTGTATGAGACGTCCTCCCTCTCTAACTGATAATTAAATAGTTAAAGAATCACAACATGCATTCACATTTTTTCACAGAAAAGTTTCCCAGAAATGCTCCTTGACCTGAGCGAGGACGATTAACGTCATAGCATTCACATAGAAATGAGTCTGATTCAGAAACGGGATAAAAATGTTAAAATGTAATTTATGTAACATCTGAAAGAGGCTTAGAGAGCACAAGCCTTTGATCTCGCCTACAAGTCACATTTTCTGTTCAGCAAAGCCCCAAAACACAGAGCTTATTATGATGGGACAATCTGCTTATGTTTCATGTTCATCACACACTGGTACAGCCGCGTTGCTCCATTTCAAAGAGCGGGGAGTCGAACAGAACGTGCTGCTTTCTAAAGCTGCAGGATGAGGTGTGCATCCCGAGCAAATCACAACAAGTTCTCCAAAATAAAACATGACATGAGCCTCTGAATTAGAGCATGACTCGGGCCCAAAGAATCCAGCCTGAACCAACCCGAGTCTGTGCACGTTCTAAGTACGCTATTAAAATTATAGTTATAAGTTGTCTGAATGCTTTTCCCATTCCGATAGTTTGCTAATACTGCTTCCTTGTTGTCCCACCTGCTGCTTCACTGACCCTGTCCCCCGTCAGCTGCTACACAGTATACCTTTAGCCTGTGTTGATCTTTAGTGTGTGAGTGTGACTCCCGCTCCATGCTCGCTTCAGTTTCTGGGTTTGGTCCGAGTTGCTTCGAGTTCAGTGTGTCACTGTGGAAGACCTCAGTGACAGCTCAGGAGTGATGATGATGAGGGGGGAGTGTCACATAGACCTGGGTCAGTGCTTCTACAAGGAGCACAGAATTTAGAGAGGCCAAGAAGGCATTAAGCATGGCCTGACGAAGCTCTAATTATGAATTTAAAAACAAATCCCGAGGTCGGGCCTCAGGTTCAGTAGGGCTCAGGTTGGGGTTGCAGACCTCTCCCCTGAATGCTCAAAGACTGCTGATATATTGTGTTCTTATTTCCTGATTTTTAAACATTGTTCCCTTTCAGTCCAGATGTCTGTCTCTGCAACACTTCTTCAAACACTTCTTCAAACAAATACACCCACAGGTTTCCATCAACGCTGCAACACGTCTCAGCACAGTCTCGCTCTCACCTTAAGTTCATCAGAAACGACTCCCGTTTCCCCCAACAAACAAACCAAAAAAAAGAAGCTTTTAACAACTCCTCGTTACAGCCATGCACGCCCGAATCATTGAGTTTCAAGGTTCTGCCCGAACATGCCAGGACAAAAAACGACCGACTATGTCACTGCCTCCGCCTTTCATCCACTTTTCTGTTGAACTACATGTCCAACTCTTTCACAAAAACCTACTGAGAGGTGCATCCATGTGTACAAATTTAACTTTGAACAACATCCGTTTGAACTCTGCTCTAACTGTAGAGGAAAGAATTAGCTAAATATGTTCTGACATTTTGAACTTATGGCGTTTTTAACCTGGTTGCTCTTAAGTCTTTTAGCGAGCTTAACTCAAGCGTGAAGCATGTTTGTCTCCTCAGTGAAAGCGTGTGTGCGTGTGTGCGTGTGTGTGTGTGTGCGTGTGGGAGATTATCCCCTTCATGAGGGTATGTTCGCACAGAGAGAGCCGTCCCGGGTGAAAGCAGGGGCTGGAGGTGTGAGATGGGTTACATCATCACCAGCTTCTTTTCTTATCCTTCCCCTCCCTCGCTAACCACCTCCACCCCGGCCCCCCCCCCTTCATTTCCACTTCTTCTCTGCACTCTCGCCATCTTGTCGCCCCATCGTCCTGGCTGCTTCTTCTTCTCCCTCCACCTCTGTAAACCACCCACCCTTGGTGCCCTCTCTCTTACATAACCCACATGGAGTAATGCAGAGATGATTCGTCTTAACACATTTTTCTTTCTGTCCCCGTCTGCTGGTTCCTCTCTGGCAGCTCTGCCTCGCTCCGTCTCTTAGTAATGTTATATTCTGATTCATAAAGGAAAATGAAGCCGGTATATTTGAAGACAAGAGGAGAGGAGAGAGACCAGGAAAGTAAAAAAAAAAAAATATATCGCTGTAGCCCACTGCTGAGCTAAACTTCAATCGAATCAACTCTCTTCCAAAAGCCAGAGCTTTTTTTGGTTTCTCTCAAAGGAAAGTAAGACAAAGTACGACTCCTGGGACTCAAGGTAACAAGCCAGCAGAAAAGGACTCAAAGGAGGGGGTTTATGAGACCAAACCAAAAAGATTTAAAGCAGACAGTTGAATGTTATTTAATAGATACTGCACATGCCGGACTGTCTACAGCAGGAGAGGACAACTGGCAGCCCCGGGGCAACATGTGACGACCCCCCCCATACAGAAATTATAATCCTTTCATTACACTGAAAAGTTGTGTGAATGCTGTAATTAGCTCATTAGATTTAGAAGAAAAATTAGCATTTGAGTTTAAAAATAGCGTCTTCACGGTGCTGCAGTGGTTAGCGCTGTTGCCTCACAGTGAGGAGGTTCCTGGTTTGAATCCCCGTCTGACAGGAGTCTCTCTGTGTGGAGTCTGCTCTCCCCGTGCATGTGTGGGTTCTCTCCGTCTTCCTCCCACAGTCCAAAGACATGCTCGTTAGGTTAACTGCTGACTCTGAATTGTCTGTAGGTGTGAATGTGAGTGTGGCTGGTTGTCTTGTCTCTATATATCTGCCCTGTGATTGGCTGGTGAACAGTCCAGGATGTAACCCCGCCTCTCGGCCAATGACAGCTGTGATAAACGGTATAGATAATGGATGGATGGGTTTAAAAATATGAAGGATGATGCAGCATGCATAGAGAAGTGTAACTGAGAGGATCCTGCAATTTGTAACAATCTGGACCTCTTGCAGTGAGAGTGAGATAATGTGCCCCCCCCCCTCCCCAAAGTGGTCTACAGCATGACAGTTTAACATTTAAACCTAATCCGCTCTGAAGGAGAATGTAATCTTAAAGGTGGAATCACAGCAGGAAGGCAACGCGAGATATAAATCAAGGCTTGTCTCTGACTAAAACTTTGTGTGTTATCTTGTAATAACAAAATGCAATCAGGTCGTTGTAACTTCAAATGTTAACAGCGTGATCCTCGGCCCAGTGGGCAGGTCGTGTTGCTGGGCAACAGGGGGAAATGGTGAGTAGGTACAAGAGGAATGTAGAGTTCAACACAGAAAGTTTAAGATACAGTCATCTTCTGGTCTCGACAGAGTTATTGTGTTTGGTATGTGTGCTCGTGTCTGAGGGTGTGTCAGGGTGGGGTTCTTCTAGAAATATCTTAACTTTCTATTTAGTAACATGAGGCATTTCAAAACAAAAGCTGGAGGAGAAAGAGCAGCTGAGTATTGTTGTGAGGAGGCCTGACGTGCTGCACTTCATTTCTAAACCTCAGCTTGAAAGGCTTGAATCTCACTTTCAGAAAAGGGGAAATCTTGCCTTGTTAGTTTTTTCTGTATCACCAGAGCAGATACAGATACAGAATAAATAAGATATACTGAATGTTATTTGATCTTCTCTTTGGTTTGTTATCATAACGTTTAATCTCTTTTTAATCTTTCTGTTTCCTTTGGTCGTGATGCTTCTGATGTCTTCCGTGACGCCCTTTGAATTGTTATCTATCGATAGTTTCGCCCTCACCTTAAAGGTTTAATATGTCGAATGTTTACACTAAAATATCTAAATTATTAAAAAATGACTCAATTTATGTTTTATATTTTTGTTGTTGTTGTTGAGTTCTTACATTACCTCAAATATTTATCAAAGCCAGAGAAATCCTTCATTTTATCATAAAGCTGTAACGGACTATCAAATGAGGCAGCCGCCATGACAGACCGAACAGGTTTACCGTTGCCATGGATACACTGAATTCTACGTCTGAGCCGCTGCATAAGGAAGCGCGAGCTGCTGTGATAAAAAGGTCATGTAAATTATACACGGATACATTAGCTCGTCTGTAAACATATTCTCTTCCTCAGGTCGGTTTCACCCGGTCGTCATGACGACAGTCAACTGGGAGGACGTTTTCTTCAGGGGGTGAGTAGCAGAGAGAATCACTCCCATGATTCCCCCGCTAGCCTCGACGTCATCTTTTGTTATTGTTTTGATTGAGAGCCCCCTGGTGGTGGAGTTTACATCCTGTGCGTTCAGTGTAATATGAAGTACATGATAACACAGCGGCGTGCAGGTACCTGTTCATTGATGGAGCTGTAGTCGTTGGTGGTGGAGACGTCATCGTCCTCAGAGTCGAACAGGCCCTCCTGGTTGTCCAGCAGCTCAGCGAGGACTCTGCTGACGGACTCCTGGTCTCGAAGGTCCTCCGCTTCTGTTGACAGACTGCAAACGGGATACAAGACAGGATTACGTGTCTGTTATCGTCGAAGGTTAAATAACGACAACAGCTGAATAAAGACGTTTGTGTCTCTGTGTGTTTATGGTAGAAAAAGACTGATGGACTCAGTGACATCACCCATCGCTTTATGAGGAGGCATTTTGAAGCCAAACGACGGCGGTTGTCATTTTGGAAACTCCTGTCTCAAACTACAAACGACCTGAGAGTTCATTTGGTCTTTGCTATGTGCAGTAGTTGTGACTCTCCGTCGTAATCAGAAGACAGGTGTCTTACTGGAAGATGTCTGGACCGAAGACAGCGGCCAGCGTCCCGATGTTCCAGCTCTCCTGCTGGAGCGACGCCACGCTGGCCAGGAAGCGGCACAGGAAGCGTAGCAGGCCGTAGTTGAGCTGGGGAAGCTGCTGCAGGAGGTACTTCAGGTTTCTGCACAGCTCCTCTTCATTGCTGTAATCTGCAGATGATAAAGAGTACAACACGGGTTAAGATTAGTTTACAGTGAATGACTCTTACTAGCTGTTCTTTTTTATGTTGTGTGCGTCTTTATTTAGGCAGGATAGAGGTTGAGTCGGAAATCGGAAAGACAGAGAGACGTGCAAGAGGAGCCACAGGTCGGATTTGAACCCGTGCCTCCTGCTTCAAAGACTACAACCTCTGTACATGGGGCATGCAACCAAACCACTAGGCCACCGGTGCCCCAGCAAAACAACATGTTTTCATCATTGCCATTACAACTCGAACACTACAAGCACGTCTATATGTTGCAGCAGAAGTCCATTTTATCCATATTATTTTGAGATGAGGAGTGAATTTCAGGTTATCACGTCCTTTCTGTTCCTTCTCAATTGAACTGGAAAGCTTTTTTTTTATTTTTTATCAGTGCTACATATGCAGACACAGCTGACGTGCAGAAGGCGTACAATCCTCTGGGAGAAGTGACATGAGGTGATATTAGAGAGGAAGAATGTACAAAATGATAATCCTTGCAGGAGTACAGTTGAGCCATTTTCAGATGTAATACATTTATGAAATGAATGACGGGACACGCTAACCCCCCCCCCCCCCCCCCCCTCCCCCCAAGGCTGTAATCTGCATGGCAGCAACAAGAACAAGCATTATAATGAAAAGGGGATTCAAACAGATTATCTGTGTGAGAATCCGAGTCAGAAGGGGACACGGGGGAAACTGAAACAGAGCAAATATGAAAGCAGGAGAATTATGAAAGTAAGCTTGTCTGTTGAACACGGTTTAACCCACCGCTTCATTCGATGACTGACTGAGGATCAAAATGATATATAACACATTCAAAGAGTAAAATGTATAACAACAAAAAAATTAAAGAAGGATGGCGTCTGCGGCGGCGCAGCAGTCCCCTGTCACACACCTTGGTGCAGCTGTAGTATGTGTCCCTGTATGGATGTCGGGATGACGGGCTCAGGAAGCTCCTGCAGGAAGAGTCGGAGCAGACTGACAGCTGACGCCAGGTCCGCCTCCTTCTCTAGCTCCACCTCTTCTCCGCTGTCGTAACGCTGGCGCAGCCAATCCACGCGCTCTGCGTTGCCATTTACCAGGAAGAGCCCCTCCAGATCCAGATGACCTGTCGACGCAGACGGTGTGAAGTCAAAGTTAGAAATATTTTTTAAAAAACACCCAGTATTTTATGATGACGAGATCTGTGAGGTCGAGTGTTTACAAACGCACGTGTCCTTAACTTCTCTGTTATCAGCAGAACACTGACTGACTGACTGTTGTCGCTCCCATGTGTGACAACATCCCTGAGTGTTTACGAGATTCAGAGGATAACCCAACAGCACAGCGTCTTCCTCCTTTACATAACCAGCTATCTGTCGATCTGGTGTCATGGCATGTTTGTGCCCTCGAGCTCTTGTAATGCATTTTGTTCGTGTGTTATCGCTGATAGCTCCTCTAACATCTACTGGTCACATTTACATAAATTCAAATCAACATGATGTTTGTGTTAGAGCCCAACCGATTAATCAGAACCTCTTTTCCAAGGGAGACCTGACCGAGACAGGCAGCGGCAAAAACAAAAAGTGAGACAAAGTACGATTTACAAAAAAAACTAACATCTGCATTAAAAAAGAAAAAACAGGGGCGCTGGTGGTGCAGTGGCGCAGTGGTTAGTGCGCTCGCCCCATGTATGGAAGCTGTAGTCCTCCAAGCAGGCGGCCACAGGTTCGAATCCAACCTGTGGCTCCTTTCCCGCATGTCGTTCCCTACTTTCTCTCCCTGATTTCCAACTCAAACTACTGTCCTATCTCTCCATTAAAGGTACAAAAAGCCCAAAAGTAAATCTTTAAAAATAAAAATCTATGAGTCAAATCTGGGAGTCAGTAGCTAAAAGCATCTACATCCCGTAGGATCTGTTTCCAGTTCTTTCATTGTAAAGACTTCAGCTCTTTGAGTTTAAAGTCGTTCTGCTCACAGATTCCAGGCTGAGGGGGCAGAACACCTAAAAGCCCTTTTCCCAGTTTCTGTCCGAGCGTGTTACACAGCTGTGCATTAACCAATGAAGACAAACCCTGATAGACGGTGTCAGCCCTTTCTGTCAAAGATGACAACTTTGGTCCGACACATTTTCAGCGCTCACCCTAACACCCGATTATCTGCAGAATTCCTGTTTTAATCAGACTGCTCTTATAAAACCTGGGACATCAAACACAAATCAGACGAGAGATTAAGCTCTTTTCACTGGCTGAATAACTTCTGCACTGGCAGCAGCACTCGGAGCGAAGCCGGGGAGGATTAGAGGGGGTTGTTACATAACCTCAAATGGTCAAGCAGCCCCCAGGACACACATACCATCAGCCTGCTTCACTGGTCACTTGAAGGGACTTGAGGTGAAGTGGTGGTTGGAAATAATTCCACTGACTTGACTGGTTTTACAAGAAAGTTACCTAACTGTGTACTCAAGACGCATCTTAAGAAAAGCTAGCTCATCTGTTGTCAAACGTGTCTCTTCATATGTGTTACTTTTTATGTTTTACAACACTAGAGTATTGGACATCATCCATCTAAAACCTCTTATGATACTTTGTGTAATATGAAAACTTATCCTGTATGCTCATCATAGTCTCGATGCCTTGAAATCTTTAAAACCGAGAAAGAAAGAGTCCTGTAATAAATTAAAGAGTGACCAGCAGAGTCGGGCAGAGAGTCTGTGCTTCACAACTTTCACTGCAGGCTGAGAGCTCGACTACCGTCCTGTAGCGAGTAGGAGAACAAACTCCACAAAGAGAAAACAGACGGAGCTAAAAGAGCGACACAGAAACTGAACGTTGTAGACTTCACTGAACACGGCTTTTTTTCATTATATGGTGGCTGTTTGTAAAGCGACCAAACACTAAGTCAATAAACTACATGAATGGGAATTGCCATGATTGTGCAGTTTTGTCTAATATACGAAACAAAGTTGTTTTGCAGAGGTCAGAGATAATCCCTTTTTCTTTCAGGTTCAAGAGAAGCGAATAAAACGGCTTTGTGTCAAGCAGAGGACGTGTGGCTAAAGCCCCGTTTCCACCAAGCGGCCCGGTTTGGATCAGTACAGTTTGGTATATTAACACTGATCTTGCTTGTGTTTCCACAGCCACTTGTGGAAGTTAGCTGGATGCCATGTCAGCTACTTTATTGTGTGACATCATAGCTGCACAACAAAGTGTAGACCGCCAATAAACTCAACGAAGAAGAAGAAAAATGGCAACAATGAATATCCAGTATTTTGTGCTCTTTCTTCTCGGCATGAGGCTGTTTAGCTCAAGAAGAAGACAAACTTTCTTGGAGAGAGAAATGAAAACTCACTCGAAATCCACGGGATATTTAAACGTGGCGTGTCTTGGGTTTGACCTTTATCAACACTGTCACACAGGACGTGAAGCTATGTCGACCAATGGACGACAAGGGACTGCTGTGGGTCTAGCTCCAGTCTTTAGGGTCGGAGAGGTACGCTTGGCATCCCAAGAGAAGGGAAGCAAAAAAGTAGGACAGTACAGATTGGTTATTTTGGTACCATTCCCAACGTTTGACAGTAGAAACGCCAATTAATGCGTATCGTACTGTACAAACCAAACCCAACTGACCCCGAGCACTTGGTGGACACTGGGATTAAATGAAACTCAACAGAACTGGTACTAAAGATGGTGTGTAGCCAGTCGAATGTAACACTATGAGGACTCCGTTCTTTAAAGAAAACTTGACTTTGGCTGGTGAAACCGTCTCATTTTTTATACCTTTCAGAGCAAAATGTCCAAAGTGCCAACCTGCTCTCATGAAGATAATGATGCAACAGTGCAGTTCCTGCTCTGTGAGTCTTGACAGGAAATGTTTTAAGGGGGTGGATATGGGAAAGACCTGGGGCCAGGGCTTTTCTTAGGTCCCACTCTCCTCCAAGCTAAGCTGTTCTGTTTTCACAAGAGGAGCTGCAGTCGACAGAGCTGTTATGTAACGGAGAAGGAAGCGGACCGTGGAGCTGTCTGCCGGTGCATCCAGAGTTCATCTTATCACATAAACTGGATCTCCACTGCTGACATATTTTGGTTTTTATCATGATGCAAGAGCAGTCACGGCGGGGCAACAGCAGCAGGGCGTTATTGGGAAACTCAAACATTACAGAGTGCTATCAGATGTACCCCAGAAGTATGAACTCAGGCATGATAAATGGGAAAGTCACAGAGGAATTCAAATTATTGATGTGCAAAAGTGCAATAAAAGTGAGCTAAAAATGGTGTTGGTGATCGTATTCCTGCTCTCCTATTCAGTGTGAAGTAATGCGCAATCACCTGCACAAATCGCAGGGGAACTCTACATTGATATAGTTATGACGTCTCTTTTCACTCACCGTGCTCCTCGATGTATTCCACGATGCGCTTCACCAGTGCAGGAACCTCGTGGCCGCTGATTGTGTGCGTGCGTGTCACCTCCTCCAAAGGAACGCCAAAAACCCGCGTGGTGCCGGCTGAGCTCCCGCCCTCATTGCCTGGCAACGGAGACACGCTCTTCCTCATGGCCTCCACCTCCTCCTCACCACAGCCCCGCCAAGACCTCACGTCTTCAGGAGGAAACATTCAAGAAAGGGGAGAAGAAGAAGAGGAGCAACGCTTAGACCAAAAAGTGAGATGTAGTCATTTTACAGAATAACCACGGGCAGGGAGTGACGAGTGATTTCACATCCATCAGTGCACGCTCTGCCTGTCGGTCACAAACAAACAAAAAGGAACACACACACACACACACACACGTTCAGGAGTAGCTGGTTTAGACTCTGCTGCACAACTTTGAAACCTCCCCTTCTAAAAAAAAAAAGTATAGAAGAAGGAGGAGGAGGAGGACGGACAGCAGCAATAGGCTAAAGGTCAGCAGAGGCTTTTACACCTCGTCCTCTGGGGAGGAGGAGGAACAGGTGGAGGAGGAGTGAATGGTTTAGTCCCCTCTGTGTCCATTCTCCTACGATCACTGCAGGTGCATGCAACTGTCTCTTAAAGCATCAGATTCAGACAATAACGGTCACATGTCTTTCTATAATTGGCTGAATAAGGGTTTGTATTTAGAGGAGCAGCTGGTGTATTAAAATGTTGACTTTTACAAATTGATGCATACGGAAACACAGATTTAAGACTTGTGTTTTTAAATGACATAAACGTGATTCAGTTTGGGAGAAAGTCTTGTTATCTGTTGCGTAATCGTCATCCAAAAGGTCACTACTTAAAATAAATTCCCATCCCTGCAGCGAGGTTCTTTGTCGTCATCTCGCCTTGGCGCTCATGCAAAGGGGGAGGATGTCGCGGGCAGCAGAATGGAAATCAATGGAAATCAATGCAAAGCAAAGAAAATCAAGAATTTGCAACGATTTGTAGTTCAGCCTTAAGACTCTGGAGCCGGTGGCGGGTTGGTGAGTAATCTGGATCCAAACGGCGGCAGATGGTGTCGCTTTTACTCAGGGGTGAGAAGGATCATCCCCATGTGTTTATTTAGAATAAAACAAGCTTTTTGATGCGTCAAGATCTCACACATAAAAACACATGCAGGCAGATGTCTTAACAGAAGACTCTTAGGCAGAGAGCGTGATGGTGTGGTCAGACAAGATTCTTCTGTCTTCCTCTCAGACCTCTCATAACAGGTTTGAAACCAGTTTGTTGTTACATAACAAGAAGACATAAAATGTTACAATTCACTTAGCAGACGCTTTTATCCAAAGCGATGTACATCAGAGAGTAACTACAACACTAATCCATTCATACACCACCACCGAAGAATCAGCGGGAGCAATGCAGTGGTTAAGTGTCTTGCCCAAGGACATGTTGCTCAGCTGGTCGAGGGATCGAACCCTCGACCAGAAAAATCTGGTTGAGAGGCGACGACTCTACCAACTGAGCCACAGCCGCCCGACCCTTCGCTTTTTGTAAAGTGTATGGAAATTACTTTTGCAATGATTCAGCCTAGTATAAATCTGCAAAGGAGACTCGAACCGACCTCTAATTAATTAACTAAAACAAACATTTTTCTGTGAGTGAGTATGGCAAAGAGCATGTCGGTATTTTCTTAAAGAGACTAAATCAGAAAGTGTGTGTGAGATTGTGTTTTGTCTTTGCACTGTTCCTTGTGTGTACTCACCGTGTAGCAGTGAAAGTGTGTCCTATCCTCTCCTCCTCTGACCAGTGAACCGCTGAACCATCTAGGGCTGCTTCAGGTTGTGGCAGAAGATGAGCCGGTAGTTCCTCATTGACGGACCGCTAATCCCTCTTGCAGGATTCCTTTCTAGCTTCACTGAGGAGAGACAGAGAAAAAAAGAGAGTTTGTTAAAGGAACAATATGTAAACGTCACACCTAGTGTTTAAAACGGGTACTGCAGTCAAAATTCAAAACATTAGAGAGAGCTGTCTTTCAAGGTTTTGCATCTCCTTAAGCAGGATGAGGGAAGCTTAAGGCAGTTAAGGTCATTTTTTGTGCATTTAATTTTCCTCTAAAGTTCCTGGTCTGCTTTCCACCTCCTTCATTTTTCTCTCCCTTTGTATTTGCATGTCCTCCCTTCTCTCTTTCCTCATCTTCTAGATTTAAGGCATGAGATGAAGGGTTCTCCAAGAGTCTGCTGGAGGCCAGGACTAATCATCATAATTAAACTGACTACGGTGAAGCGAGGAAGCTGTGCCAGCCTGTGTGTGTGTGTGGGTGTGTATTTGTGTCTGGATGTGTCTTGCATGTCCGTGCATGCTCGTGTGAAGTAGGATGTGAACAAACTGTCACTTTGAATCTGTCTGTGTGTGTGTCCCTGCTAATTGCTGCCACCTCAGTATGTGTGTCACTGGCAGCTTCAGCAGGATCCATGTGAGGCGCGTTCTGTCCATGCTGCACTGGCAGTTCTTCAATGTAAGGCTGCAAGTAAGATATTTTAAATAGTATATGTTGAAAATTAATAAATGAATCAATAACCACTATTCTGTGACAGCCATCCTTTAAATTCCACCGTGAATCATGGGAGCACAAAACAAAACTCTGCCGAACAATTTCTGAAATTTCTACTAAAGTGAACTTATGCACCTGGTTTCACATTGGCAGGATTTTTACCCAATGTCCTCCAAGAACAATTCTTTCTTTTCTGCAAGAGTCGGTGTGGCGTGTTAGCTCCCCCTCCCCTCTTACTTTCTGTCATTCCTCCTCTTCCTGCATGTTACACAAGCCATCCAACCTAGTTAGGCGCTTTGCATCACCTCTACGTCAACAGCATCCCCTCTACGTCACCGAGAAGGAGAGGAGCAGGGAGAGGAGCAGGAACAGAGGGATGTCTTTCACTGAACATTCCCCGTAAGTATTCTAACATCTCTGCAGGTCGCTCGCTCTCTCTCTCCAAAAAAACAGCCTCTTACCTCAATCGATAGAGACTTTGGTGCCATCCTTCAGAAATTCTGTTATTACAACACTTAATCCCAGCAGGACTCAAGGCTTCTCAAACATGATGAATAAGCAAATATCATTTTTAAGAGTTTTTGTAACACAAGGACGTAAAATCCTGCACCGTGGCATGAAAGCTGAAATCTCAGTGCTTAAAGCATTTCAGATACAATGAAAAGGCTTTCTTGTCTATTCCAGGTACTTATAATCTGGTGGCGTTTAGCCTTCAATCTAAATGTCCCGAAGGCATAAAGGGGGGACGAAGTGATCTCTCCCCTGTACCATTTTAGGAGGTAGTAAAAGAAGTGTAACAGGGGCAAGACAGGATCTGTGGAGCCAGCGGGGGAGCGCAGTGCTGGCTGTGTGTGTGTGTGCATGTCTAACTATGTGTGTGTGTGTGTATGTGGAGCTCCCATTGTGCTGTGCTCTCTCCTGCTTCTGCAACGCAGTCAACAATGTGAACACACAGACTGGGACACCAATATTATGAATTAATATGAACGTACAAGGCGTAATGTCGGCAGAGCTTTGTAACAGCACTGTAGCTGAATTGCATTAATAAAAGGGCTTGTTTCTCAATCACAAAGTTACCTGCAAAAGAACCGCTAAATGTCAGAATTAAAGGTAGACTTATTGAACGAGTAACAGAGGAGAAGTATCTTGGGGAGTAGAGTTAGATTCTCAATTACATTTACAAGCCATGTCAAAAAGATTTGTTCAAGGATTAAGGCTAATCTTATCTGTTTCAAGATGATAAGACACTCAACCATGCCTTTATGTTTTTACATATGATCATGATATTCTCACATCCTGTCCTCTGGTTTAACCGCCCGAGACAACCAGTCAGGAATTAAAGAGCCTCAACCATCAGGCATTTTCTGTGAAAGGAGCTAAATCCTGGAACTTGCTACCTGATCACTTTAAATTTACGACAAACTTCACCACTTTTAAGAAAGCCACACAATTCTGTTTGGTTCAGCAACACCATGTCTAATGTTCCTACAATACAATACTGTACGTATCGAGATACAGCGGCCACGATACGATACATTTGAAGATATACATTTATTTTGGATACTGACCATGTCCTACACAGACTTCACTACAACAGCTGCTCTATGGTTGGGAATAACAACAGAAGCAAAAGGATCTTCAGAGATCCTAGAAATACATTGAAATTATTTAATCCCAGAGCTATGGCTAAAGGCCCTGACACACCAAGCAGACGGCAAAGAACTAGTGGCAACCAAGGCCGCCTCATGTCTTCTTTTGTCCTGGCCAAGACTATACTCTAATACGCGGGTTGAGCGTTTACTACAGCGCGTATAGTCACCCCCCCAAAGGCCCATTCTGAGCCAAGAAAAACCCTGCTATGTATACTGCATCTGTTCCTAACAAATAAACTATAAATACAGGATAGGTCCAAAAAGGAGTAAGACCTCAGCAGTGAAAGAACCGTGCTAAAGTTACTGAGCTGAACAGAAAAAAAAAACGTCTGCAAGGTAGGTTGAATATTTTGCTGCCTTAAATGGTCCTAACTCTGCTCGCCACCTCCGTTGTTTTTGGTCAATGGGTATTATAGTAAGCCTCACTTTGTTTCCTCTTGCACGCTACGAGGTTCTTTCAAGGGTTTCTTAGCAGAGTTCACTTCAGATGTGTCCATTTATACATTATGAGTCACAGGTACACTAATATGATCACATGTAGGCAGAAGAGACTGCTCTGCTGGTGTGGAGGAAGCTTCCACCCTTATTTTAGCTTTAATCATTTTAAATGAAGTCCAGGCTATCACCTCAGTACACAAGCCGGTGTGTCCAGGCCTTCAAGCTACCATCAATTTGGTTTGGTTCGATTTTTAACTTCAAATTCCACTCATACAGCTTCTTTAACCTAAAGTAGGAATAAATGTGGATAAAATGTTGATGCCCCTTTAGATATAATACTTTAAAGGTCACATATTCTCCTCCTCATCAACCAGTGTAAATAAGTCTCAGAGCTCCTCAAAACATGTGTGTGAAGTTTCTTGTTCTAAATCCACTCAGAACAGGCTGTTTCTGTACCTTTAAATATGTAAATGAGCTGTGTCTGACCACGCCCCCTCTCTGGAAGAGCTTGGGTGGCTCAGTGCTTTCTCGCTCCATGTTTTATTGTTTACAGTGAGAAGGCAGACTCAGAGGGCAGAACAAATACCTAGCTGTGGGAGTGTCACCCACCTGGGGGAGGGGCTACTGCCCTTTGTGATGTCATGAAGGGAAAATCTCCAAACGGCCTGTTTGAGCACACATTTGCTGAAAAGTGGAGCAGGCAAAAGGCTCATTATTGGGGGGGGAGGTTGTAGACAGACTGGGGACACATATTCGTATTTTTAAACTCTTTCAGTGAATTTCAGTGAGAAGTCGCATACTTCAAATGCCTTTTATGGGATAGACTTTCATATTGTTATTGGATATTTAAACTGAATCATGTGATATCTGCCTGTGCAAAAGTGCATTCCCTTTATTGACAACAAAAATGAAGCCTGAAAATGTCTTTGTGTTGCAGGTTGAAGGTCTGGACCATTTTCACATTTTGTCCACTTCTTATTAAAAACAGGGGTTTTGGGAGTCTTATATTCGTTGAGGATATATTGTTATTTATTCCTCTAAAAGGCATTCCTGAGCCTCTAGACTTTCCAAAACCAACTGAACTGGCACTGCTTGGTGCTAAGCCTCTTTAAAAGCTAGAAGAAATCCCACTTTTGGCGCTGAAGTTTTTGTATTAGTTCAGAGTCTTACTACTGAAACCCAAAAAACCTCAACGACTGAAGGGAGTCATAACACACACGCTTCAAGTGACATATGAGGACAATGACACCTGGAGATTTGGGAACTCAATGTTCCCAAAGCAGTGCCTCGTCTGTCGTGAAAACTAACCCTAAAAGGCCTCTGTAGAGAATACGGCCAGTAATGCAACGGTCTAGAAGAGCTCTGTCTGTGTTTCGTTCTGTCCGTGTGGGTGTGTTAATCCCAGATATCATGCTTGACAACCTTCTGCTCAACAAAGAGGGACATTGTTTGAGGCGGAAACAGAGAAAGTTAAGACGCAAAGAGTGTGAGAGAAAGAGCGATGTGAAGGAGAGAAATGGACCGACGGATAATCAACCCAAAGAAAGTGTAAGGAAAACCCTGATGAGAGAACAAACATGTAGACTCAAGTTCAAGCACTTTCAAAGTTCCTCAACCTAAACTTCATGGACTCCTGAATCTTTATAATCACATCTACTCTAAGCTGTTCGGGCCTTGGGATTCCAACGCTGCTCAAAACATGGCGGGAATAAAAACATTAGACAATGAAAATGGAATCAACTGGAAAACACAGAATGGGAGATTTGGTGAAAGGTGGTTTATGAAAAAAATCTGTGTTTTTTTCTCGACCAATCAAAGTGTTTTTCACAGCACCTGAGCTTAACGAACGGATTAAAACTATGACCAAAAGTTAATCAGAAGGCACTTGGAAACAAGTCTATCTGGACTCTTCAACAGTTCTAGCACAGCGGCAGCAGGAGATTAAAAAGAGGTTACTGTATATCAGATTTCAGTTATGTTTCTAAAAGCGGAACCTGGTGCTGCACACATCTAAAGACGAAGCACGCTCTGTGGTCTGCAGGGTGGCAGCAGTTAAAGCCTTAATGTCCTTTAACAGAAAGGTCACAGCTTCACCTCCTGCAGTACAGTCTGACCTGCCGAAGTGTGCGTCTAACCCGAGTGCTGCTAATCGACTTCAGACTAAACACTCAGCAACAAAACAGGCAGAGCAATTAAAGCAGGATATATTTAAGGAGGAGATAACCAGATACAAACTCCTCACATGAACTTTTAGTTAAGAAATAAAGATCTCAG